TTATTACTGTCAAAAAAATAATTGAGTCTCTGTCCTCTGTAAGTTTAAAAAGGATATGTACACATGAAAAGATAAATGGAAAACTAAGATAGCCAGTACTCATCAGTGTCTGATTAGCTCCACGAGTGTTTAGAAGAGGTCATTACTCTTGGGAACTGAGCTCTCTCCCCACTGAATTCTTCTAAATGTTTCCAACATGGCTGTGACCATGGGCCCTGGTTGCCAGTGGTAGCCCTAAGAAATGAGGAGGTAGAGAGGAAAGAAAGGGAGAAGAACATGGAAATGAAAGGAAGCAGAGGAGGAATATAGCATTGGAGAGGAAGAGACGTGATAGAAAGGAAGAAGAAAGACAGGACCATCTGCCAGGGCCCGGTCATCACACTGCCCCAAGGAAGGGGCTCCTCCAGGAGCCCTGGGGAATCCAGTCCCCACATTCGCAGCCTTGAGAGTCTGGTGTTTCCCTGACTTGGTCCCATGGTTTGTTTTCTCTTTTGAAGTTTTTCTACCTCCTCCACCTTTTCCAACCTCAACACGGAATAGTAGGAATGAGAATCTTAGTCTGTTCCAGGTTGGCTTCCAAAGTTCCCTGGTTCCCAAGAGCACAGAAAGGGCCATTCACATGCTGACCGTTGGGTGCATTCTCCGAGAGCCCCGCGGCCCCTGCAGATTCAGGAGGGCACACAAAGCTCGGGCCTCAGGAGGGGGCTGCTCAACAGTGTGTCCTCACAGGACCGGAGACACCGACACCGGGGTATCAACAGCAAGAAAATAACCTGTGGCAAAGTTTTGTTCTTTACTCCATTCATTTTCACCCTTAGATGTTTCTATAGCAGTACAGCACATATTTTCAAAGGATCACTGAAGCTGTTTCATTTATTTAAGGTTTTTTTTTGTTTGGTTTTTGTTTGTTTTTTAGATTAATTCTGTAAGGACATTCATGCCCCTAAGGTCAGAGTGAATACAGTGCTTTTCCCAGTGGCAGTCAGCACAGATGGCTGTGTCCAGATCTTGCACCCACGGGCACCTGCCCCTCCTCTGGGTTCTTGTTCACACTCCTTCTTACTGACTCCCTGGTCCCTTTTCACTTCTATCCCAGGTCCTTAGCAAGAGCAGTGTGACCAGGGAGGCCAGATGAGATGAAGTGACCTTTGGATGGAGGGTCAGGAAATCTGGTTTCCTGTTCTCGGCCTGTGCCTCCCTGGCCTTGGTATCTTATTAGTCTCCTAATTTTTCAAATGAGGAGGTTAATTGGATAACTGCCAAGATCCCTTTCTCTCTCACACGCCTGGTTTGAGGAAGGGTCCTGTAACCTCTGCTTAGGAGAGAAGTGTCACAATGAGGAAGTGCTTTCCTGGGGATGAGGTTGTCCCTTACACGGTTGGATTCCAGCCTTAGCTTTTTTTTCTCTTTAGTCCGCACACTCTCCCAGGGCCACCTCCTTCAGCTCTCCCTGCAAGCTGCACTCCCCTCTGAGCCCCACCGCTGCATCTTGATGTCCCACAAGTGCCCTAATTCAGCAAGTCCAGAACTGATGTCTCTCCCCCTTCCTCTTCCTAGTCCCCTACTGCGGTGAGAGGCATCACCATCCAGAGTCGCCAAATTAGAAACCTCAGGGAGGGGACAGTGCACTTCTTTCACTGCCTCTTCCTCCAACCCCTACGTGCAATCAGAAACCAAATTACATCTTTTATAAAGTATCTCTCAAATCACCTACTGCTCAACCAGTCCCTCTGTCTCTACTGCGGCTTGAGACTATGACCTCTGTATGGGTCACTCGCCCACCCTCCCCACCCCCGTCACCACTGTCATGCTCTATGGCAGGGCCACACTGCAGTGAACATCTGACCCCGTCATTCCAATCGCTTCAGAATGGAATCTGAGCACCCAGGTGTGGCCACACTGGCCCTGGTCATCTAGCTTCTACTCATCCCTCCACCCCCATTTTCTCACAGCCTTCACTCCAGCCGCATCAAATGTTTGCATTTCCTGAAGCTCTCCACACTTCCCCCCTCCTTAGTTCTCCCTCCACGTGGAGTACCTGACCCCCACCCCCACCTGCACAACACTCATCCTTCAAGCTTCATCTCGGAGATGCTGACCATTGGGAAGTCCACCCAGCACATACATGTGTGTGTCAATGTCTGAGTGATTCACTGTCATGTCAGATGGGTCCTCTGAGTCTCCATGTGTTATGTGCCAGGATGTGGGACAAATGTCACATAGTTTAGACTTTATTGGGAGAATTAAAAAGGCCAAAGGTCACAAGAGAAGCCACAGACATGTCCCCCTTAAGTCCCCCACCTCACAAAGAGGTGTGCTAGGTCCAGGAAGCCACTGGTCTGCAGTGTGGGGCTGCATCGCAGCAGAGGGGACCAGGACCCCTCCGCCCCCTGGCTTTTCTCTTTTTATAGGGAAATCAAGCAAGGCAGAGCAGCCTTGTAGATGAGGGAATAAATAGACTGCTTGGTGCCAGGCAGTCTGGGTTGGGGGTGCCAGCTGTTTACAGGAGTTGTCTGGGAATGCTGGCTTCCCAGCACATAGGGCCCTCGGAGCCTTTGGGATATTACTGTTCTCCCTTCCCTGGGGAAGAGGTGCTCTAAGCTTGGGTGCTGCCTCTCTCAGAAGGTTTAGACACCCCAGAGGGAGCTCCAGTGGTACTTTAAGATAGTTCGGCTGGTTGTTCCACACTGACAATGAATGACTGGATGGATGGGTGGGTGGATGGACATGTAGAAGTAATTAGCACATATGTGAACATATGAAAATGCCTGACACCTAGTGGGTACCCAGCTCATGTTTATTTCCCTCTCCTTGTCTTCCCTTCTCATCCCAGCTCCAACTCCGTGGATTTCCACGGAGGTTTCTGGGGTACAGAGGTGGTTCTGTCATCTGGCATAAACATGAAAGCTCTGACCATCTTGGGGATGGGCCTGTGTGGCTGTCTGACAGCCCCCACCCTCCTTCCACAAGTTTCCTCAGGTTGCACTATGCCCTTTTGTTTCCTTTTCAACACTACTCTGATGTTCATTTTAACACAAAGTAACCTAATTTTAGAAGATTGGAGGCTCCCACACATTGTGATTTGTACCTGGGTCACAGCTCCTAGGCAGTCTGATCCCCAGACTAACTTTATGATGCTCCAGTGGGTAGAAAGTAAAGGATGGATGCCTGCCTCTGAGATGCTGATTCAATCCGATCTCTCCATTCCCTTCCCACAATTGCTGCCTGACCTGGGCCTGCATCCGCACACAAGCCAGTGGTTCTTAAACTTCACATGCCTCAGAGACACCTGGAAATTGTCTGTAATGCACAGTTCCAGGCTGCATAACCAGGAGATCTACTTCAGTAGGTCTGGTTGGGGCCCAGAATTCTGCATTTTTTTTAACTTTGCATCCTTAAACTGCTTCACCCCAGGGGTAAGGCCAGTAGGGGATCCAGAAAGAATGAAGGGAGCACAGGGACATGCATGGACGGACCTCTTCCTGCAGAGCTACCCATCAGGCTCCCAATGCCCCCATCTCGGAGCACCCTCCAGCAGCTCGGTGGAAGGAGGAGGGCCTTCCCGGGTGATGCTCACTCTACAATGTGGGTGGGACTGGAGACCTTCAGTGAGCTCCACCTGACCTGGTAGAAGATGGGAAAATAGGTCTGGGTGTTCTGAGTTGAATGCTTCCTGGAGGTTGTGGACGGGCCTGTCCTGCTTAGAGGACCTGTGGCCTAATGCCACATGGACTGTTGTTTTTGTGGCTCCAGTGAGAAATGGGCTGAGGGTCCTGCAGAGGCGAGCAGTGGAGTGTGAAGAACCAGGCAGCAGCCGTGGCTTGATGGGGGCCATTAAGGATCTGCACTGGGGATGGTTGTGGGAGAAAGCAATTAGTGGTGCAGAAATCTTGCGGATCAGCCCAGAGTCAGCTTGCTCTAATTCAGCCAGAGTCTGTCCTGTTCATTGTCGGTTCCCAGGGTCAGGAGCTGCAGCCTTAAATGCAAAGCCCTTCTTTGAGGTGGCAGAGGGAAGAAATGACTGCCTACCTCCTGCCCCTGAGAAAAGAGATGAACCTCTTCCATTCACTATCCCCATCCCAGTGCCTGTCTCCATCCCGGAAATGCTGATTTTCACTGCTAACCTGCTCTATGTCTTTGGACAGAATTTTATTTTCTCGAGAGAGAGAGTTCAAATTTTTGGACATGTGTATGTGAGCAGTTTTGCCTGTTTCAGCTGCTGTTGAGAGATCTTCAGTGTCTCAAACACAGCTGTGTGCTTGCTCTTTTGGAGAGCTCGGCTGGTACTCTCCCAAGACTGTGTTGTCTCCAGGGTTTGTTACCTTGAATCATGGCACACTCCTCCTGAAGGAATGCCTCAGCACCCTTTCTCAGCACCCTTTCTCAGCACCCTCTCCTATGCCCAGGCATTGTTTCCCTTTTCAGTGGTTCTCAACCTGTGGGTCGTGACCCCTTTGGCGGTCGAATGACCCTTTCACAGGGGTCGCCTAAGACCATCCTGCATATCAGATATTTACATTATGATTCATAACAGTAGCAACATTACAGTTATGAGGTAGCAATGAAAATAATTTTATGGTTGGGTCACAACATGAGGAACTGTATTTAAAGGGCCAGAAGGTTGAGAACCACTGCTTTAGATCAAGACATGATGGGTTCTCTCCTGAGAAGGTACTATGACATATTCACTGATTAAGTAAGATGTTTCCCCAAAAATGTGTAAATTTTGACCATTATAATATTTACACTTTAACAGAAGATATTTAAAGACTTAAAAACAAACAAAAAACCTAATGCCCAGTGCATTGGAATTCTAATGAAACAGACTGTGGAGTTACTAATTTGTCTTGGGGGTCCTACCCAGTGTCCCCGTAATTCCTCCCATGGGGGTGGGGATAGCACTCTCCTCCACCTTTTGTGAGAGTTGATGGGGCAGAACTTTATAAAACCCCCAATCTAACAATTTTCTTTTTCTCTCTCTTCTATTTTTGTTTCCTAGGAACGAGTGGAATATCTCTTTCTCATCATTTTTACTGTGGAAGCATTTTTAAAAGTAATAGCCTATGGACTTCTCTTTCACCCTAATGCTTACCTCCGCAACGGGTGGAATTTACTAGATTTTATAATTGTGGTTGTAGGGTAAGTACAGCTACCCTTCTCTACTTCCTCCCCTCACCCCTGCCGCCAACCAATACATATCTCTCTTCCCTTTTGTGTTTATATCTCCTTTTGATCTGGTCACAGTGGCTCTGGGCTCAGGCAGAACAAGAGGACTTACTAAATATCTCTTTGAATTCAGACTTTCTCCAAAGCGAAAGGAGCCATTATCTAGGAACCTCCTCACCACTACTCCCACATGCACACACACAACACACACACCACACACACACACACACACTCACACACACACTCACACACACACTCACACACACACATGCATGCATGAGTTGAATGTGAGTGCTTTTGATGGAACCCAGGGTCCTTCATGCAACTTAGGACAGTCCTCTGCTTAAGGTGTTTTCTTCCATCTCCAACCACACCTGGCCTGACAGTGTCTCTGACCAATGTCCCTGCTGTGTCACTGAGCAGATTTAGTTCAGCTTGCCTGTGAGCATGCAGTCCCCGGGCCTGGTTGGGGCTGGCACACAAGCGCTGTGGATGCCCCCTCTCACCTCTGCAGTGAGCTTTGTTCTGTGGCCAAGGAACCAGGCTGCTCAAGACAGGTGGGTAAGAAGAAAACAGAGAACTATGAAGGACCAAGATGATGAGTAGCCAAACCCAAATCAAACACAGCCTCCCCTTGACATGCTGCTGGATTTTAGTATCAGATGAGGCAAAGTCAATATATGCTTTTTTAAAAAAAAAAAAAGCATTGCATGAAATCTTAAATAAAATTTAGAAGTGATCTCCTCATCGAGGAATTAGTAACTTCACAGAATGATTCTCAAGGAAATGTTTCTACCTAACAAGCCTACATCTGCTGTGTGAGATGTAACTTATTAGCACAAAGTGGTTGAGGTTCCTATGACTCGGCTGTTTTCTAAAGGGAGGGACCCTTTGCAGCAAGATTTCACTTTAAGAACTAGCTGGCTTCTTTGAGCCCATGGAGTGGTCAAGTTGTAGCCACCTTGTGTTTCCACTGCCTTGGAGTTCTGACGGGCTTCATTGTCAAGGTCAATATGTCATTTGGCTCTTACCCCAAGAAGCTATTTTCCTGAATCCTTTTGTGCTGTCCCAGTGAAGACCAAGGCCTCACAGTTTCTCCAGAGCACTCGCTGCTTGTGATCTCATGGGAGTGTCTGGTCTTTCCTGAAGGAAATAACACGGGGGGCAAATCGAGGTCAATTGGAAGTTATGTCCTTGTCTCTGGCCATCTGGATGGCTTGTGAGGGTTTGGAACTGTTTTAGAGTTTTTACTTTGTTGGCCTTTCTTGCCTGACCAATGAGTGACACACTTTGGCCACATTAACATCAGGGATATTTGGGTGACTTGAGGAGCACTAAAATCAGACTATTTGCCAGGAATATATCTGGTTCCAGAGGACTCGGAGTGAGGAGGCAGTTATACAAGAGATTTTGCCAGAATTTCATGCCAGAATGCACAACAAGTGACTCCACAAATGCCTTGAATTAACTCAGTAAAACATAGCAGAGGTCTTTAAGGTGGGTTGTTCCAAATGTCCCTGAATCCTTTTTAAATCCAGCATCTTTTGCAAGGCCTCAGTCTCCTGGGAACTTTTCAGACATGTGTGGAAAAGAGCCCCAGGCTGAGCTCGGGTGCTTCTGGGAGCCATGGAGAGACGAGGTATCTTGCTGGGACCAATTTTGTTTAGGCAAGGACGCTGCTTTCTCTCATGTTTATGAATGCATTGGAGTTGACCAGATACAACACCGTGCTCCATTCACGGCCTTAACTAGAGCACAAGAGGTGAGAACAGGCAGCACCGGTAGGCATCCAACAGGAGCCCTGGGATGGGGGAGCAGGTGCCGGCCACGCCTGCGCACTGGGCAACGCTGCTCATCTCCAGCTTGTTTAGATTCCCCTGCACCCCTTGTACTGCTTTTCCTTCTCACAACCACAGAAGGTGGACTTTTTGTGGGGCATCTAGATTCTGGTCACATCTCCCTGGGGTCTAGACCATGAGCCCAATGGAGAAAGGCAGGTATTCTCCCAAAAGACACCTATAGTTGACTCTAAGCCTTTTGCTCACCTTGTGGTTCAGCGTGACCCTTTGAGTTCTTCCCCATTAATATCACACGTGGCCATGTTTGGGACCTAGTTTCTCTTCTCCATGGGCACTGGTCCCGGGAGCTTTCCATCCAGTCTAAATCTCAGCCAATCCTACTGATTCAAAAAATGGCGCACATCCCCCCCACCCCCCACAGAAGGTATCTGCCGTGGGCAAACTACGGCCCGCGGGCCGGATCCAGCCCGTTTGAAATGAATAAAACTAAAAAAAAAAAAAAAGACCGTACCCTTTTATGTAATGATGCTTACTTTGAATTTATATTAGTTCACACAAACACTCCATCCATGCTTTTGCTCCGGCCCTCCGGTCCAGTTTAAGAACCCATTGTGGCCCTCGAGTCAAAAAGTTTGCCCACCCCTGGTATAGCTCAACCACCTCAGTTCAGCCGAGCCTCCCATTCCTACTGTCTTTACAGTATTAAATGGGTATCCCTGTTTCCCTTGCATCTCCTGGTAAATATCTGCTCTCCTTGGCACCCCCCACAGCTATTTAGGGGAAGGTCTCTCCTGCCTCCTTCAGGTCAGGAGAGTCTGCCTGGGGGTGCCCCCGGGGAGGGGAGTACCTGCCTGCTGCCGGAGGGCCAGGTCGAGAGCCGCTCTCTCACCTCTGCATTGCCCTTCCGGTGGCCTATGATGAGGCATTTCCTTCCTCCTACAGACCTGTCACATTTCCATCCTAAAGTGGGGTTAGCTCCTTGGTATGGTGGGAGATGCTGCTGCTGAGTGAACATGGAGAGGACTTCAGAGGCCTCTGTGAGCTACCCCGCCCCCAGCCTACCCTGAGAACTGGCGGCTCACAGTAGCTCCATCTGCTCCAGACATGCTCCGGCAGCCACAAAGGCTTCTGTCTCCCTCCTCATATGTTGGTCCTGCCTCACTGGGGCCTCTGGAGCCTCATTGCCCTGTTCTTTTAAAAGCTCTAATGTCCAGCTAAGGAACCACCAGACACACCTCCTACAGAAATCCACCCCCCCCCCCACACACACACACACAAAGCATCGGCATCTGAACCTAGCCCTTAGGACAGGTAGGCACCAAGCCTGGTCCCACCTTTACAGTGTCTAATGAGGAGAAACACAGCAGTCCCCACAGGCCAAGGCAAACATCCCCCAGGCCCGTCCCTGCATTTCCTGCATTTCCTAGCCCTTCAAAACTAAAGACAGACACTTAATAAAGAGTCTGCATCAAGTTGGAGCAGGGGTTAAAAGACAGGAAAGTTGTCTACTCTCTGCTCCCTTCACGGAATAATATATGGTGAACATCTTGTACTCTGATAAGCATATTGCTTTCTTTCAGGAAATACTAGCAACCACATCTGGTTTGGATTTGGAATGCTATCTGACCAACTTGTGAGCAGGTCTCCATTTCCATGATCTAGACTTCAGTGGAAAGAACATTTCTCTGTGGAGAAAGGAGCCCGCTCCCCCACCCTGGCAAACCACTGCCTGGGATTCCAGGCATCACCAGCTAACATGTGAAGCCGTCAGATGGCCAAGCCGAGCTGAAAGAATCATGGAGCACAGAGAGACTTTAGATGTGGTCTGGCCAGGGTCATCTAACTCCTTTTAGCTGCAGAACCCATTTTCAAACAAAGCCTTACTCAGAGGCCCAATGCAAAACACAGATCAAAGGGAGCCCACTGTTAAATATGGGGAAAGGATCCAGAACCCCAGTCATTCACCTCTGGCCTCGCTGCTGGAGATGCCCCCAAGGTTCCATGGAGCACAGTTTGAAAATCCTTAACCTAGACCAGCGGTCCTCAACCTGTGGGTCGCGACCCCTTTGGCGGTTGAACAATGCTTTCACAGGGGTTGCCTAAGGCCATCCTGCATATCAGATATTTACATTACGATTCATAACAGTAGCAACATTACAGTTATGAAGTAGCAACGAAAATAATTTTATGGTTGGGTCACAACATGAGGAATTGTATTTAAAGGGCCAGAAGGTTGAGAACCACTGACCTAGACCAACCTCATTGCTGGGCCCTGCCTGGATCTGAGCTTCTGCAAAGCTAAGCCTGCAGCTACAGCCTCCCATTTCCAGGTCCACTGCTCTAGGCGTGAGTTATTTAAGGCTTGAGTCTAGTCCTCAAAACAAAGTTGCCCTGGCCCTGAGTTCATGTCTGGTAAGGGAACCCAGTTTTCATACCTGGACTTCCTTCTTGACCCCAGACCCTGGCCCAGCACACTCTCCACTGGCAGTGAATCAGTAGTCATCTCAAGGTACAAAGGACAGAAATTTTCCCTGTTGTTCTTGGTTACCACAAAAAGTCTCAGTCCCCCATCCCATGTAGGCTGTGTCCTCTGATCTGCACCCTTCTCCCTCCACCCCACTCCTGAATCCTGCCCACTGTGCCCACTGTGCCCTCTGTTCCCCACAGTCCATCTCCACTCAGGGGCAGCAGACATTTCTGTAAATAGTCAGGTAACAGCTTTTTTGCTTCGTGAGCCCTGCAGTCTCTGTCCCAGCTGTTCAACTCTGTGGGGAGAACACAGCAATTATGTAAGGGGAGGGTGTGGCCGAATTCCAGTTAGACTTTATCTTCTGACCCCTCCTTTCACTTTCTGGCTTTAACCTGAGGGTCCTGCTCCCCTTGCAGTCTCTAGAGGTGGCCCATTTCCCTCCCAGATGCTTCATTCCACAGCCCAGAGGTCCGGAGAGTGGCCCAGATTTCCCCTTCTTTCTGCTTCCGACCACTGTTCCTCCCACTAAAATCCTCCACTTTTGATGTTTGTGTCATCGGACACTTCTGTGGCCCACATCTCCTATTGTTGTCCTTTACAGACCTTTGAGTCACTCCACATTCCTTGAGGAGTGAGCTCTTGGCTCACTCCCACTCTCCAGCACTCACTGCTCCGCTGCTGCCACCACCTTCCCCCCTCTGGGAGCTTCTTCCCTAGGGGTCCCGACTCCATCCTGTTTCAGCTGCGCACTCCCATGGTTATACCAATATCCCTGCCATTCCCTAATAACTACACCCTCCCTATAATCTCAAACCAAACATTCTACTCTAAGCGATACCACCATCTTTCCAGCTCACTCCCTCTAGCACTTACCTCCAACAATCCATTCGTCCTGCTGCATCTGTCTGCTCCTCCTCCCATCATGGGCACTCCTCCTTCCAACTGGCTTAGATGCCACATCCCATCACTATAATCCTTCACTTGCATTTATTCTCAACTTTTATTCCTCTCTTCATTTGTCTTGCTCACCAGTCCTGATCAAATCCAACTAGATGGAGATTTTTTGGTACCTGAAGCTGTGCCATTGAAAGGGGGAGAGACATATGCAAAGTGAAGCTAATGGGTCTCACTTTACACTTGTGACCACCAACCTCGAATAGGTCAACGGTGATTCCTGGCAACCATGCTACATGTTCCTACTCACTCTTCCACTTTCTCTATGATTCTTTAATGCCCTTGCCTTTCTCTTCAGTCTTCTAATACGTCCTCCCCTTTCACATTTTTAGCTACCCGTTTCCCTGGGAACACAGATGCAGTCAAAAGAGAATTTTCATGCATTCTCACAACTACATCTGTGCCCTATAATGTGCCTCCCAACCTGAATCATGATAAACCTCTCCACCTCTATATAAGGCCAGCATCCCTAAGTGTGCATTAGGTCCCATCCTGCCTACTGAAGGACATCGGTCCTTTGAGTAATTGTTCCCTCTGTGTCTGCATTGTCAAATTATCCATCTCTGTTAGATGAGTCCCATCACATTTAAAAATGTTATCGAATCTTCATTTAAAAACAAAACACTTGATTCCATACCCCCTCTGAAAACTACCATTTTCCTCTAATCCCTTTTATAGCAAAATTCCTCAAAGGAGTTGTACAGTAGCCACCAGGCACATGTGGCCATTCAGCACCTGAAATGTAGCTAATCTGAATTCAGATATGCTGTACATGTAAAATACACAGTAGAGTTAAAAGATTTAGAACAAAAGATAGAGTGACAACTATCTTATTTAAAATACTTATATTTATTACAAATAAAATATTTTGGTTACATTGGGTTACATAAATATATTGCCAAAGTTAATTTCACCTGTTTCTTTTTTACTTTTTTAATATGGCTACTAGAAAATTTAAATTATATATGTGGCTCACATTTGTGGCCTGTATCATATTTCTTTTGGACAGAGCTGTCCATTCTCCCTGTCTTTAGTGTTCCTCCTGTTCTCATATCTATTAGGTTTTTGTCCCCATCACTCTATCAAAACCTGTTTGCATGGTCTCATTGGTCTTCATATTACTAAATTCCATGGTCAGTGATCCATCCTTGTATCTGTAGCACTTGATGGTTAACCACTCTCTTCTCATGACCAGTTCTTTCACAGCCCACCATTCTATCTACTTGTCTCTTTTATTGGTTTCTCCTCTCCTTCACCCCTTGGTGTTGGAGCCCCAGGGTTAAGTCCTATCACATCTTCACTTTCTACACTAGCCTCCTAGGCCCGTGGTCGGCAAACCGCGGCTTGTGAGCCACATGCAGCTCTTTGGCCCCTTGAGTGTGGGTCTTCCACAAAATACCGCCACACTCAAGGGGCCAAAGAGCCGCATGTGGTTCGTGAGCTTCGGTTTGCCGAGCCGCAATTTTGCCGACCACTGTCCTAGGCAATCTCGTTGGATTTGACTTTAATACAGTCTACACAAGTATCAAGTGTTTGTCTCCAGCCTGGAGTCCCCACCCCCCAGAAGTCCACACCCAATAGAGCCTACTAAGACATCTATTCAGATGTCCAACTGGCAGCTCAAACTGCACAAAGTTCAAAATAGAACCCTAGATGTGCATCCCCCATACCTCATCCTTCCAGTTGCTCAGGCCCAAACTGTTGGAATGGTCTTGATTCTTCTGTTTTTCTCACAATTCACATCTGGTTTATCAGCCCATCTCATCACATCTTTCTTAAAATAAATACAGAATCCGACTATTTCTCATGACCTCCAACACCACCACCTGGTCTATGCCTCCCCACCTGGATTAACACAGCAGCCTGCCCTGGCCTTGTCCTACTACAGGCTATTCTTCCCACAGCATTAGAGTGATTCTTTTAAAACCTTAGTCAAATCATGTCACTCTCCTGCTCAAAACCTCCCAGTGCCTTCTGACTTAGAAAACCAGTAGGCCTCCCTGCTTCGTCTCCGCCTTCATCTCCCACTGTGTCCATTTACCTGCTTTGCACCAGCCACCCTGCCACTTGTTGTCCCTCTAACGTACTACCATGCTGCTCCCTCAGGCCCTTTGCACCGACTGTCCCTCTGCCTTTTCCCATAGCTCTGCGTCCACTCCTGCACTTTCTTTAGGTCTCTGCTCACATGTTAGCCTAGAAGCGAGTTCCTTTCTTAGCCTTTTGATGTCAAACAGGAAGGCTCCCACCCTGGCCCCTCCAGACCCCCCTTCATTGCTGCATTTATCACTCTGTAAGTCTGATATACATTTATTGATTATTTGGTTTATTGTCTGACACCTTCACTAGAATGTAAGCTCCAAGAGGGGGTAATGACTGTCTATTTTGCTGTGGCCTTGATGTCTAGAACATTACCAGGTGCATAGGTGTTCGCATTTGTTGGAGGGATGGACATACAAGCAGAGACACAGAGCAGCAGGGCTGCAATTTCCATGTCTTGGTTACATGCCTTACTGTGTGGTATTGCTCCTGCTGGAAACTTACTCATTTGATCATTTATTCACTTGTTCATCATATTTCCTTTGAACATCTGTTGTGCCGGCACAAAGTAGATTTCTTTGGGATCATTTATTTGCACCCAGGTACAAATCAAATAGATGGGGAGGAGAAAGAATGTGGTTCCAGGCCACATGAGGACAGCAGCTAGGGTATCACGGAGGGGCCAAAGGGCACCGCAAGGGGACAGGGGGCCTGGCAGAAAACTTCATTTGCTTTTCACTCTGTCTAGGGCTGCCCAGCTCACAGAGCCAGATGTGTTTTCACAGCTTTATGATGGCAAAGGGCCTGCCTGTGGCCTCACACAGACTTCTCTATGCAGTGGCTATGCCCTGTATACCCACATGATGCATTATCACCTTCCGATGGCACAGTCCCTCCTGGGCACATACCTCAGCACTTGCTCCTGAGGTGGAGATGGTCACAAACTGCTCTCCCAGGCCTCCTTCCGAGAATTCAGAGCCCAGCTGAGCAAAGAAACACTGTCTGACAGTTCCTTCTCTCCTTCCTCTCTTTTAGGCTTTTTAGTGCAATTTTAGAACAAGCAACCAAAGCTGACGGGGCAAATGCTCTAGGAGGGAAAGGGGCTGGATTTGATGTGAAGGCGCTGAGGGCGTTCCGCGTGCTGCGCCCCTTGCGGCTGGTGTCCGGAGTTCCAAGTAAGTAGAGCCATTCTTCTTATGTTGTCAACACCCTCCACTTTCCTTCGCAAATTGCCAAGAGCACTTTGCAAAGGAACCTGATTTCCCAATAAATGGAGGTTTTGCCTAAATGAGATCCTTTGCTTTTAAAAACCCAGCTCTGATGTGAGTCCATTAAAACACACTGTGGTCCAGCTCCTGTAAATACTTGGGGAAAAAACAAAAGCACTCACAGCCAAATGAGGACAAGCCTGCACAGACCAAAGAGTCTTGTGGCCAGCTGAGCAGCCCTGCCAGGCTCTGGGCTGGGAATTTAAATACATTTGTGGCAAAAGTGCCAGGTGAGCAGAGACAGCTAATCCCCAAGGCTCACAGGGTATTTGAACCAATGGGATTAACTCTACTCTCTGTATTTTGCCAAAGAACAATCAGAAAAGCACCAGTGGATGTTCTAAAAGTTTAATTTTGCCATTTCTTCCAGTTCCTCCTCCTTTCATGTCAAATGAGGCATCTCTGGCCTCAGAAGCCCTATTAATGGACCCCGCCTGTCATAATGAGAACTGGTTTCACCCAAGGAGTGGAGGGTGTTCAGTAATCTCAAACAAGCAGAGGGCGTTAGGGAGATATTGTCCATCAGGACACCAGTCACATGGACAGCCCCCTCCACGGTGCCCCCAGAATTCTGTCCCATTGGGGATGAGGCTCAGGCACTGAACACAGCAGCTTCGGGCACCTGCATCAGCTCCAGCAAACCCAGCCCATGTTGCTCCTGGGGGCTAAATCAGCTTTCGGGGAGCTTCTCCTTCTTCTCCTTGCTTGATTTGTGGTATCTGAGCATAATTCTGGACTTGTTTGCAGAGAGTTTACACTCTCAAGTCAGCTCCATCAGATCTGGCTCAAGACTTAAGGCAGAGGGGGTCCCTATGACCAAGCTGGAAGCAAACTAGTTTGGGGGTGGGGGCAGGGTCAGCAAAACAAAGAGGTCCTCTGAGCACCCAGCCTTTACCACCTACCCCGGGGACAGAGCACTTGGTGACATTATGCTGCCTGTGGTATATCTTAGAGTCATAAAACCATAGAAATGTGAAGGACCTCATATTAACCTGTTCAGTCCTTTATTTGTTTGTTTGTTTTTTCTATTTTTTTGTTCAGTCCTTTTTGTACATGCATAGAATAGTGAAGAGATTGTCTCCAAGTAACTTAACCAGCAGCAGAGCATGGCTAGGACCAGGTCTCCCAACTTTCTAACCAGCTCTTTCCTACCACACCCCAAGACCTCCGGTAAAGAATTAACTGTTGATTGTCTTAGACTTGTACACATATATCCTGTCTCTTCAATTACATTATAAGTCCCTTGAAGCCCAGAACTGTGCCTGATATTGTCTCTGATTCCTGCACAATGTCTAAATAGTCTCTGCGCAAGGCAGGGCAGTTTACTTGGTAAATGAAGCAAGAATTGGATTGTTGTCTTTGCAGTGAGGCCCCCTGGGCAAGGCTTGTGGCCTGTCTTAAACTGGACATAGAGCTAAATCACACAAACACATGCAGAACAGATTCTTTCTATGTGGCCTTAAACACTGGGGCATGTAGGGATAAAAACATTATATATGACTCCCAAGACCCAATTCCCCTTTTCTGAAGCTTGAATTATTTAGGTTTTCTTTGTCAACAGCCATATCTCAGTAGACCAAAATCAAGGGTGAGAAGGCAGGGTGAGAATGGCTTTGAACATGACTTTAAGGAGCTTATCATGAAGGTGCAGCCAACGTGTCAGTGATATGAATCATACATTGATTCCAAACTTTAGCTAAACAAGCTACAATGGACATAATGACTCACTGTTGTGTATGTGCTTATTAGGGGCCCACAATTTCAGAGCATTGTGGTGTGTATGAGGACATATCATAAAGAATAAAGATGGCCCTAGCCGGTTTGGCTCAGTGGATAGAGCATTGGCCTGCAGACCAAAGGGTCCTGAGTTCAATTCTGGTCAAGGGCATGTACCTTGGTTGCAGGCTTCTTCCCAGCCCGAGCCCTGGTTGGGGCTTATACAGGAGACAACCAATCGATGTGTTTCTCTCACATCAGTGTTTCTCTCTCTTTCCCTCTCTCTCCCACTCTCCCTAAAAATCAATGGAAAAATATCCTTGGGTGAGGATTAACAAAAACAACAACAACAAAAGAATAAATATGGTTCTGTCACTTGAGGAATATGATAGTCTAATAAAGAGGATATCAGTCAGCTTTTACTGCAGGAACAAACAATCCCAAACTCACAGTGACTTAAAAAGGAACACATGTACCTGGCTCGTGGTACGCAAGGATGTTGGCCAGCTGAGCTGTGCTGGGCTCACCGGGTTCTGCGTGCCGTCTGGTTGCAGCCCAGCCTGAAGAAGCGTCCAGCATGCAGGCCATGTTGTTCTCGTGGCAGAGGGCAGACAAACACTCACAGAGGGGGCAGAAAGCTAAACCACACAAGCGTATTTTGTTTTTGTTCAAATATGGCTTATCTCACAGCTGCTCACATTCCCATAGCCAAAGCAAGTTACATGGCCATCGTTGTCCTAAAGATAATGGGACAAAGAAATATATCGTACTTACAGAGAAGCATGGGGGAATAATTGTGAACAAGTAGTACAATCTGTCACAAAGGGATTGAGGAGAGTGTTATTAACAGAAATAGTTACACTAATTACTCTAGTACAGAGATTTGTAATTAGAGATGCATATGGCTGAGAACCCTCATGCTTTAGTGCATGAAAAGGGAGAATTTGATAGAGTAGTGGGGGCTCCACTGTAGAAGAAACTTCCGTACAAAGGTGTCTTGTCTCCACCTGCGTTTGCATAATGGTGGAACTGTACTGTGGTCAGGAAGAGGTAACACTTTTTGGAATTCTCTCATCAGGAAGATGAAGGCATGATAAAGCCCCTCAAATCCAAGGCCCTGGTTTTACCTGTCATGCAGCTCAGGGAGCTATTTTTTGTCATTAAAGATGATGGCACTGAGATGGTTTTGCAGTGTGGGCAGCCTTGCAGGTGACTCCATGCTTATGCATGGCAGTAACAACTGTGTCTTGTTTTCTGTAGGTCACCAATAAAAAGAGAATGGATCTGTTTTGAGCTTAAAGAAAGTGCCAATCCAGCTTTCCACCCTTTCTCAGTGGAATAGTGTCTGTGTGACTTTTTGATAAAGTATGTAGCCCAAGGTGAAGAGGTGCACTGTACTAGTTTAGTTGATATCATCTAGGAAAATATCAGCAATATCTCTTATACTACAAACCTAGACAAATGCCTCCTTCTCCCATTTCTCATAACTTAAGGTTGTCTCCTTTTATACTTCAGCAAAACTCTTAAAAAAAAAAAACCCACAGTTGCCTTTATCTGTTATCTCCAATTCTCATCTTTCCATTCTCTCTTGAATCCAGTGCAGTCGGGCTTTCTCCCTCGCTTCTGCGCCAAACATCTCTGCTGAGGCCCCTGCGACTTCCATGTTACAGAGTCTGGTGATCACTTGTCTGGTGCAGTTTTGCTTGATCTATCGGCAGCTTATCTCTGACCCACTGGGATCACTAGGCTTTGGGAATACTGTCGTTTCTTAGTTGTGCCCTTGCTTCACTTGTTTTTCCTTCTCGGGCATTCGAGGAAATCATGACTGCGATCCTGGTTTTGTGCACAGTAAGGCTGCATGGTTTAGGGGATGATTTCACTGTGATATAGAAATCAGTTGACTCTTTCAATGAAATTCTATGTAACTGCAAGATCTGTCCCTTTTGTTTCATCGAGACTCTTCCGCATAAAGGAAATCAGCTCTGCCGCCTGTGCAGCGCCACTCGTGCACACGCAGTGCTGTAAGCGCAGGTGGCACCAAAGGACAAGCCATATGGAACAATAAACACTATACAATGAACATGAACAATAAATATGGAAGGTTGTGAATAAATATTTGCCTTGTGTATACAAGGAGTGCCTTTGCTTGTGGAGCAATAAGCAAGGGGTCATTCCTCCTTTCATATAATCCCATCTGCCCTCCAGAGAAGGACTCTCAGGAGTGGGCTGAATAAAGGGGGCAGGCAGAGGGAGGTGAGGAAGGGTTTTTTGGTTTTGTGAGGTCTCTGACAAAACGCACAGCAGCCCAGACTGGATCCAGCACTGAAGAGGATTGAAGGATCAGTTACCTTTATGTAGAACCAGCACCAGCCTTGGAAAACACCATCCGCTCACCAGGAACACTTATCGGGCATGTTCTGTGGGCCAAGCACGAGGCAAGGCACTGGGGCTCAGAGATTAATAGGATACTATCCCCATCTGTCCAGGTACTTGAATGCTTTGGACTTTTCATGGGATACGTGCTTTCCTGTGACATGAATTTGTTTAAGGTTAACTCCTTCTCAGTTAAAAGTGTTATTTCTGGAAGCACACACAATAGAAAACAGCTTGTTATTATACAAGGGTTTGCTTCCTGATTGAAAAGTGAGAAGGAGCAGTGAGGACCATGTGTGGAGAGGGGTCAAACTCTTTTTTTTCTGTTTTCCTTGCTTAGATTAGGACTGTTTCCTGACAACAAATCAGCACCGATCAATTGACAAGTAGCTGATGAGTGAATACCAATAGAAGGCACCAGGAGAGACTTAAGACAGTTGTGAGCATGAGCTCTTGAATCAGACTGCCTGGCTTCTGCCACTGACTTGCTCTGTGACCTTGGAGAAGTTACTCAGCCTCTCTGTGCCTTAGCTTCCTCATCTAAAATGGGAATAATAGAACTTATTTCATATGTTGTTAGAAGAACTAAATGAGTGCAATGGCAGTGTTAGCTAATTAGTTACTAGCCCCCGGGGGGGTGGGGCGCAGGGGCCCTCAAATATTGCCTAGCATATGGTGAGCACTCAGTTCAATGGTGGCTGTTACATCCCATTACATTATGCATGTAAAATAGAAGTATATGACAAGATCACTATCAAGACCAAACATCCTATATAGTAAAAGGCTAATATGTAAATCGACCAAACAGCAGAACGACC